ATTAGCTTCATTAACACTATAAATCTATTTTAATAAAGCATAAGTTTGTTGGTGCCTGATTTAGGCATTACGTGTATTTTATAAATATCAATTTTTAATTCTCAAATCCTTGAAATTCTTAATTTGCTAATATTTTCTTTCTTCTGGATGATATGGAAGCTATTAACAATTAGACAGTCAAAGTTCAATTTCTAATGAATTTGTATCCACTTAATTCATTATATTTTAATTAATGTAAGCAAATTAAAACTACATTTTCTTTTTGTATACACAGTGAGCACATGTGAGTATTATAACCCAATTTCTGCTTTATTGCCAGCTACAGCTATTATCAGGGAGTTTATTGTGGACTTAGTTCTAACAATTAATTATATAACTGTAGCTGTCCTAGGAGTCAATGATTATGAAAAAACAAATAGAATTAAGCTCAATTATTCAAAATTTCAGTTATCCAAAATTAGCATATGTTCCACAGTATCTTGCCCATTAAAAATTCCTTTTCTCTCCAAGGATTTAGTCATGCAAAGTAAATCTTTGCCTCCATCTCACAAATAAGCTTGAATTCTGATGTTGTCTTTATCAATCCTCTTATAGTGGTTTAGTGTGTGGACTTTTAATTGCCAAAGAAAATTCTTCAGTGTATTGACATAAACCTCAGATTTCTGCCTTCAGGATCAAAAACATCAAAATTAAGTCACTACTAAATGAGAGCTGTTAGGGAAGAAGAAAAAGAAGGAGCTTGTAACATTTTCTGAAGGTATCAAAGAATGGAAATCTGTCATCATAGGAATTACACTTTTGTCTCACGTAGGAAAAGCAGTTTCAAGGAGTATGCATTGTGGTTCGTCCGGTTAAGCCACCATTTAAGACACCTGTGTAACATATTGGAGTACCAGTTGGACTCCTGAATACTCCATTTCTGATACAAATTCCAGCTAACATTTCCTGAGAAAATATATGTTCTATTAAAACAAATGTGTGTGTTTCCTCCTAATGGCACATGATTTTTGAACCAATAATTGGGCTGCTACAATTTGCATTGAAATGACATCTTGCCATCATGAAGGCTGGTACTTCAGCTTTCTGTCCTCAGTATATGGCTAGGTCACAGATTGTTTATTCAGGAAAAAAAAATGAACATGTTTTGCGGTTTGGCAGATGGGTAGATGAGTGGTGAGAGAGAGAAACCTGAGTAACTCATAATCCATTCATACATAGAGATTAGCATATAATACTATACCTAATAGTAGCAGTTTTGAAACAGTATTCAAAATATCTGATAAGTGACGATTCATTTTCTTAAGAAAAATGGTTTCATCAGAATCAGGTTGATTACCTTATTTTAAAACCTCTGGCCTAATAAAATGGTTTCTAAAGCATGAATCAGCCAAAGTGTTCTGTGAGGTTTATCAGAAACAGAATTGCAAATGCAGCACATGGAGCTGCATATTGTGCCATGGAAAGCTTAGAATGATTTTGTACCAAAACTTATCAGTTCACTTACTCGACCAGCAATTCCATGAGGTTCACTTTAGTGCAAATTAGAATTCTTGGCAAAACAGTGTCACAACGCAGAGATCACCATGCATTTGTTTGGAACTGCAGCTTGTTTCAAATGAGAGGAGTTAGGATGATTTTCTAATGGAGGATTTCACGCAGTTTGATGCAGAACAATTTGATGTTACTGAATTTCCCATCACCTCCTTCCGGTCACCTCATGTAGATGAGGGCTTAAATTTAAATTGCATGTTACTTGTTAGTTTGTTTATGCTTATAGGATGTCAGTTGTTAGATTTAAATTGTTGTTTTCTTAGGGATACAGTCTGCATTCACATTCTTTGAGCCTCCCTAGTCTGGATTTAAAACCATCAATCACTTCAACAGTAATAGAATTTCTAAAATCTTTATAATTCTGATCCTAGAAATCTTTATGCATTTTAATTGGCATATGGTATTGATGTACATATTGCTTTCTACTTAAAGTTTTATTTTTACTTTAGATGTAATATTTTTGTTTTTCTACCATTTTGCAAGCAAAAGAAATTTTTATATAATGAAAGAGCTTTTAAAATATACCTCCAGTTTCCTTCTAGGTATTTTTCTGGGTGATGAAAGCCATTTCTAAAACCTGTTCTATATAAAAATGCTGAGAACATGTAGATTATATTTTATTTTTAAACATTTTAATTTTTTAAAAAATTGAATTATTTATAGTGAAAAATATTTACAGTGAAAAAAAGACATGTATTATTAGCCAGCAAAAACAGGGTGCATATCTCCATTTTTGGGTCATATTTCCTCAGAGAAAATAATTACTCTTAATTTTGAAAGAGACATTTTATTAGTTTGAAGGGTTCATGGTCATTAGGAAGATTAGAGATGTTTTAGGAAAGGAAGAAAAACGTGAGGTAGAAAATGTCGTATTGACCTAATTGAACATCTTCAAATGCCAGTGAGGATTTGCTGATGTTTTTTAACACCTGTGTAATAATCTTGCCCTTTAAAAATAACTGGTTAAATTTTCAAAGCTATGTCCTGGGATTTTGCCATTTGATGTCCATTAATATCAATTGAAATATGCGGCCAAATCCCTGTATACCACTTTGAAATTTTACCCCTTAGTGTTAATGATAGTCTTCTAACAGTGCAGTTAAAAATAAATTATTTATCTCCTGAGCTCAAATTTCCTTTAGTCTCTGGGGTCAACTAAATAAGGGGAAAGAATCCAAACATTTCTTTATCACTTCAAAGTAACATATATGTAAAATGCCATTAGCTTTGTGTGTATTGAGCAAATCATTTATGCACAAAAATCTGTATGTGTATCTAAATGTTGAAGTTGCATCTATCCTTAAAATTCCTTCCTTTTACTTTTATTTTTACTTAAGCCTTATTTTCAATACAGCTAAATATATATATATATATATGAATATATTAAGCATAAATTCTCCTGTCTGCTGTGTTAATTTTTGCAAGGCTGAAACGTAAAGACTATGTGGGAAATATTGATAAAGATTTTGATATAGTAAGAAAATCTTAACATGCAGGTTGTCATTTACCCCAACTTATCATCTTGTGTTCTAATAGCTGTTACAAAACTCAGAAATGTTAACACTGAACATATCTGACTATGAAATAACTAACATTTAGAGCTTTATAGGTATGGGAGCAAGTAAACATTTCCACAAACTTCTTGGTGTTGAATACAAAAGCATTAGTTACACATTAGTTTAATTTATCCAAAATGAATAAGAACATTCAAAGAGGACGCCAGTGACTTTTGGAAGGCTTCTTTTTAAGACAGTTTTGAAGCTCACATGAAAGATTTATGAAGAAAGGATAGGGATGTCCCATATCTTATTCTGTACAAAATACGTAGCTTTCTGTTGTGTTCCACTGAAGTGGCATGTTTTATTTGACAGATCACTATGACAGCACAAACTCAATACTTCATATTGGAGTTCACTGTTGGTGTTACAGATTCTGTTGGTATGAATAAAAATATAGCAACGTGCATTATCATATCATCTGCCTACTCATCCCTCTTTCTTTTTATAGTCTCCATGGTTTGTCTTTTTACTAAAGTCATGTGCAGATGCTCCATGTCTTACCAAGAAGCTGTGATATGATAAACTTTTCGTAATATGTTCACAATGTCTGACATTAAAAACATACTTAACACACAACTCCCTGACCGTCGGTAGCCTAGCAGCACACTCCCATCTTGGTTGTGTGTTTGCATGACCTGTTCCATAACCCAGCACGGGCAGGGAGGATGGTACTACACACGGCTATCTGGGCAAAGGTCAAAATTCAAAACTTTAGATATGATTTTAGATATGATTTCTACTAAATGTGTATCAGTCTTACATCATTGTAAAGTAAAAAACCATTAAGTCAAACTGTATTCAGTTAGGGGACTTAATAGTTGGAATCACATGTTTATGGCCTTTTCAGATTGAAATGACTATATGTTAGGGAAAGCTCAGATTCCTTCCTGCAACTCAGCTCGTCCTTGAATACATGGTGATAATGCTTGTGGTGGTGGAGGTTATGGTTAAGTACTTAATGCCTGAGGCTGAACTAGATCCTTGTTTGTGTTGTTTGTGGGGTTCTTGCTTGTATAAAACTATCTAACCTTAGTTTTTTTTAAATCCTTTAAAGGACCAGTGATTTGTGAGTGAACACTGGAAATGTGACAATTTTTTGACTCTTTGTAAGAAGCATTAATTTACTCAGGGATGTTTTTCACTTGAGGCTGCAAATTAGGTTTCATTTTTAAATTGACACTAAAGTGTTCTGTCAATCCAAGTAGTTTTCATGACTTTTAGGGTTTATGTACTAATAACGTATAGCTAGTTAAAATATGAAAAACAAATCACTTATGTTCTAATTACTGTGTCCTCCTAAATTTTCTTTGACTTGTTTAAAGCTTTCTAATATGTGAAAGTTAGATCAGAATTATTCTGTTTCTTTACATGGTGGGAAATAAATGTAAGAAGCAATATGGAATGTGTAAGTTCATCATCACCTTGCTTGTTTTTGCAGTATCTATATTCACACCAGCTGCTTTATACTTTGCAGAAACATAACAGAGCTGTATGTCTATTTATGTACTGTATGTGCTTGTTTTTCCTTTTCAAAATCTGGTCTTCCTTGTTCTTTTTGAAACAGAAGCCTGAATGCATACCGTATATCAGAATGTCACTGTATATCAGATTGTAGCATGCATGTATTTTATGAAACTCCTAGAGTTGTGGAGTTGTGGTGCTCATTTATTTAACCTGTCTTCATTCAGTCATATCATCAGAGCCTTAAAATAAATGTGTATGCTTTGACAAATTATCATACTTTAAAATACAACATTTATACATTTTATGTGATACAATTAAATAACGAGTCTGAAATGTGCCCAGCACTGCCGTTACACGGCAGTAAATGGAAGCCAGTATTCTCTAGTTGTCTGTAATCTAATAGCGGATCCTTCTCATTTTCTGCAGGAACGGCAATCAGACCTATCGCTTTGAGAGCAGTGTCTGCCATTGCTCGTGCTTTGCCTGGATTCCCCATTTTGGCCACTGGTGGAATTGACTCGGCTGAAAGTGGTCTTCAGTTTCTCCACAGTGGTGCTTCAGTCCTCCAGGTATTACTTGTGTTTGTCTCTTTAGAAAGTTCTCTCATAAATACAAGGTAAATTATAAGACAGCAAATATATTTATATAAGTTCTCCTGGAAAAAGACAACTTGGGAAGCTAAACAATTTCTCTTGTGTGTTAAGAGCAAGGCAAATGTCCTATGGAGGGTTTACAAACCCTACACCCTTTTCTTTTGCATGTATTCACTTATGTGTTTCCAAGAGAAGTGTCATGAAGTATCAAGAGCCATATTATTGGATAAAAAAGCAAATGTGTGATCAAATCTGGGTAAAAAAGAACAATTTGAAAAAAAGAAAATGTGGCTAAATTAAAGGTAAGGTAGTACACACTATCTTGGCCATAAGACACCCAGGGATTATCAAATTTGATTCTGAAATTACTGGAAAAAGAATTTATTTATATATATAAATGCATATATATATATAAATCTTATATATATATAAAGATCTGTACCACATATTCTTATGGTACAATGCTAAAAGAAATTCTTTCATTGTCTTAGGAGAAGCTTTGAGAGGTACCAAATTGTATGTAATAGCACTCCTATAGATTAAAGACAGGTAATTTAATAATTTTTTGTATGTCTTTATACAAGGCTGCATAGGACGGTCCTAAAATGTTCATCCTTTGTAAGCATAATCAGATATGCAGCTTTTGTGTCTAACCTGGCTCATGGATAATTTTTCTTGGTCCTCTATCCATTTTGTAAAGATTATTGTAAAAGGTAAGGAGATCACAGGCAATCATAATCCATGTTGAAGGATAGAGTGGGCCAAGCAGGAAGGACAGGCAGGGAGAAATGTTTCTACCTGCCATGGATGCCCATGTGAAAGGAGAGAGTGCCCCTCCCCATTGCCAAGCTTCATATGAGCCTGGAAAGGGGAGACGTTGTATGATACTACTCCAGGTCCCTGGTAAGGGGAAGTACATCCTGGGGAAGGGGATTTTTTCATTGGTAGATACATGGACAGTGTCCCGTATAGTAGAAGAGATGTGGCTTCCAAGTCATGTTATAAGCCAGTTGTCTACCTGTCTTACTTCACTCATCACTGAGATTTATGACCCTTAATCTTAAAGGATGGCTGGAGGATGGATTTCATCACATTTTCTGTGCCTACATTTTGCTGATTAGGGGCTGGGACTTGCATATCCCAGATTTGAAAATCTCTTCTTATCTCATCTAGTGGGTCCATCTCACCAACCAGGAATTTGCAGTCAGTGCCAATGGCTCTGTCCCCAGCATTGCCATTGTTAACTCTGGGACGTTTTTGACTTCTGAAAAAAACAAGTTTATCAATTAGCATGAGCAAATTTGGAAACAGACAAATTGTAGATAGAGTGGTCTTTAAGGAGGACATTTTACATTATTTCCCAAGTACTGAGTGATAATAGCTTATCTGTGTGCAGACTTTAAAACCACCCAGCTTGAGCATAAAGACTTTCAATGCCCCTTTCAGTGAAGATGCTACTGTGTAAGTATTACTGTTTAAGTAGAGGCCACAGGTTCTATGTGTATATTCTAAGGCCTGTAAGCTGCCCATAACTGCTTTAGATGGTGTCCACAAACTTCAGTACTTTCTGGAGAAACTGGCCTCAGGTGTAGGTCAAAATACTTGAAGAGATAGTCAGATTTTTAAAATTAGGTACATGTGACCTGCCAATACCTTCCAACATTAAATAAATGATAATAATAATAATAACTCCCTAAGGAGTTCTGTCAATAGCAGTTTCCAGAAAGGATCAAGAGAAGAGGGGTGGGGTGGAGGCGGGAAGCATGTTTGCTTGAAAAATGCAGCAGAATTTTAAGGATGTATCGAGCTTGGTAAATATTTCCAATGAAAGAATCTCAACTAAATTTGAACTGTGGTAATACAACAAGGTGGAGGAATCCACCATGAGGGGAGGGTTTGGGGAGGGGTGGGGGGAATCCCAGTTCCTATAAAACTGTGTCACATAATGCAATGTAATCAATAATAATAATAATAATAAAAGAAAAGGTGTTTCAGGTCTTCAGTTGGTCCCCAAGAGTAGGTGGCCTTAGCTTTTGTGTGCACCTGGGTATGATCCTCTGTCTTGCACGGGAGTCAGCCTAGCAGGTGACCTAGCAAGCAAAGCGAGCCCTAAGGCTGGAACACACACACTCACCCACAGGCTCTTATCCTGAGACTGGATATCCCAATGTGTCTCAGGCCACCACAACATGGCAAGGGCTGTTCTCTGACACCAAAGGCCATCAGCAGGTCTCCTACCCCTACCCGATCTAGTATGTATGCCACAGGGCAGCAACCTGGAGACTCAGGCCTGGCTCAGGAACCCATAGTGAATGCACAATGGGTCCAGTGGCCTGCAAATCAGATAAAATGCTTTATAGGATCACTACACTAAGAAATCTCAGGTAATACTCCATTAGTATGACTATTTTTTTAAAAGATTTATTTATTTTCATTGGAAAGTCAGATATACAGAGAGGAGGAGAGACAGAGAGGAAGATCTTCCATCCCATGATTCACTCTTCAAGTGAGTGCAACGGCCGATGCTATGCCGATCCAAAGCCAGGATCCAGGAACTTCTTCCGGGTCTCCCACACGAGTGTAGGGTCCCAAGGCTTTGGGCCATCCTTGACTGCTCTCCCAGGCCACAAGCAGGGAGCTGTATGGGAAGTGGAGCTGCTGGGATTAGAACCAGAGCCCATATGGGATCGCGGCGTGTTCAAGGAAAGGATCTTAGCCACTAGGCCATGCCACAGGGCCCCATTAGTATGACTTTTACTACCAATCCTTAATGATAACTGAAAATCTGAAAGATTAGCCCCTTTTATTTTCTGTGGCTGAAAACATAGAATGCAAATATGCTAACTTGCCTATCATAATTAATATAATATGTTTAGGTAGAAATCTTACATTTCAAAATGCTAATGGAGTTAGAATTCTACTTCTTAGAGGATGGAGTAGATGCAGTTTTCCTAGTTTTCTTAGTGCTTCCCACTAAAGACACTAAAACTCCCTAGACACTCGTAGGAAACTACTATTATATGAAAGGTAGAGGGGAATTTCAAAGCTCAAAGAGAACATCCCAGTATTTTGTTACCTCAATTTTTGTTTTGTTTTTGCTTCATATTTCCCATACTTTAAGCTAAGAAGCCCAATAGTCCAGAAGCAGCCGTAGGTTTAGACTAAAACAGTCTGCTCTCTCTGGCCAAAGAACCAGAAAAGGAACATCCTAACAAAACAAAACTCTTATCTCATAAGTGCTCTGCTGTAACCAAAAACCACAGATCAAAACAATATAGCCACACACATCTGTACAGGAAAGACAAGTGAAGTCTTACGCATAAAACCTTACCAGGTTACCTCCTATTCCCACTGAGCAATGATGAGGCCCTCTCGTTGGACTGCCACTCCTACTCCCTCCATCTCCCACCTCGGTTGTGTTAGAGGTCTGCTGCAGACTTAGACCTTTTGTCACAACCTGTAGCTGAAAAGTCCTCTTCCAGACTCTTCTCTGTGATGTCAGTGAAGGCCAAGCACAGAGCACTCCCAAAGCGTTCTTGTGTCTGGCATCGTTTGAATCATCAGCAGAGACTTAGTGGAGAGCCAACATTCTCTACTCTTTCCCAACAGTAACATGGATCCATGCCCTTTGTGTGTCAAAGCCAAGTAAGGAAACTGTACTTTTATTTGGGAGTGTGGAGATAGTGTCCTGTCCTTCCTTCCTGCTTTTAGGTCAGTGTCAAAGAAAGGCCACTCAAAGATGGTTCAAACAAAACCAACAGTCTCTTTCTATAATATCTAAAATGTCAAGATTTCAGTTGAAAACCATGTGTCACTAGATGACAAATAGTAAACCAATATGACAAATTGAAAACCAATAGTCACAAGATGGCAAACTTAATGTTTAAAAAAAATCAATAACTGCCAACACCAAGATGACAAAGAAATTAAGATTATTAGCAAATATTTTGAAATTGCCTCTGCAAAATGGCATAAACAAGCAATTAGAAACATATTTGAAACCAAACAGTCTCAATATAAAAATAGAAGATAAAATAAGATGGAAATTATAAGGTTGAAACATGCAGTAATGGAAATTCAAAACTCAATGTTCCCAACAGTAGAATCAAGAGAACAGAAAAAGGTACCAATCAATAAGTAGATGGAGCAGTAGAAATTTACCAATCTGAGTATAAGAGAGGAAAGAAAGATTCAGAAAAAGGATAAACAAAGCCTCAGGGAAGTGTGTTTCTACAACAAATATCTAGCATTTCTGAGAGTCCCAGAGGAGAGGAGATGGGTATGAAAATGAAATGATAACAGAATGTTTTTCAAGTTTTGCAGGAGATATACTATATAAAGAAGCTAAAGGAACCACGAACAGAATAATGCCAAAACGCATTATAGTCAAACTTCTGAAAACTAAGACCAGTAAATTGAAAACAGCTAGAGAGAAATGAAATATTATTTATGGTGCAAAAATAATCCTAATGATGTGATTTTTTACATCAGAAGTCTTAAGGACTTATATTTTCCATTGCTGAAAGAGAAGGTCTGTCACCTTAGTATCCTGTTCCTTCAAAAATGGAGAGGAAATCACAATATTCAAGACATTGGTATGACTTACATTTATATTTGTGGATACATGCAGTGGCATGCATGTGCAGACAAAATGAGATTATGAGTGGGTTCCCAATGCACTACAGTTGAAGCCAGACATGTGATCCTGGGAAAGACACATATGGAAGTCTACTCTACTCAGTGCTGGCAGCGCTGGCAATAGCTGCTAGAGTATTCCCACTGCCTACTCAAGAGTGAGATCATTTCATACTTTCTTGACTGACATCAACTCAGGAATGAAGGATGAAAGTCTAGCTACAATCATATGACCTGTTCTGGGTACAGCCTTTAGGTTCATAGCCACTAAACCTGGTACTGCTGTCCCTGGACATGTTTGTCTCTACCTCCTCCAAGATAGTAGGTGAGAATATCAATGC